CATGAAAGATCTTGAGGTAGAAACCTTGAACCTAAAGTAATGAATTAAGTAATAGATCTAAATCTTAATTAACAAGAACTTAATGTAATGTTCTGGGAAAGGTTTAGACTCAAAGTGACTGACTAGTTTTGAATTACTTTACTATAAACAAAAATGACTACTGACAGTGATTAGAAAAAAGTGTGCATGAAGCTTCATTATTTCTAATTTCTTTAGAAAGGTATTGTTAAGATAACTTTACTGTCTGACCATTCAGGAGCCACTCTCACACCACTAGAGACTGTCACTGCTGGGACTGAAGTCTCTTCATAGCAGGCAACTCCAGTTAACCAACGGGTGCCCCATTTGACTCCCTATCACAACACACTCAGAGTCAGACAAGTTTCCCTCACTGGCCCAGCCTCAGGCTTCCCACAGCAGAGTCCCAGACACCTGGCTCCTTTGAGTAATTGAATCATGTTGCAGTGATATCATAACAGCTCAAGCTGGAGCCTCTGGGAAGGGACCCCAACAAAAGAATCCCTGGACTTTGGTACCCTCACAGTCTGTGCCCTGATAGTCTGGGGTCTTCCTGCTGAGTCATCTGCTGCTGAGTCTCTGAGTGGCTGGTCACCCGGCTGGCTCTGCAGGTCCTCATACCCTTTGTTAGGTAAAGGGTTGGCACCAGTTCACAGCTCGTTACCTGGGGCTTCAGTCATTTCCCACCACCCAGAGCACAATCTGCATCTCCCACTGCAGCTGCACACCGAGCCATCAGCAGTAGTGGTATTCCTCAACAGTATCCTCATGTACCTAGGCAGAAGATGGTTTACTTCTTGTCGACTTGTGGAAAAAGATCATCCCTTTCTCTATTAATCCTTCTGAATTGCTTTTTTAAAACTCAAACTGAGTCTTGATAAACAATAGAAGGATCTATCTGTGATATTACACATCCTTTCAAAAAGGAAGACCTAGCATTGATTAAGAACTTGTATCTCATGAGGGTATAGAGGCCACTGAAAGGGGAGGCAATGGGAATTGAAAACCTGAGACTTATCATGTTTCATGGACTCATTTGTTTCGAAGCTATTAAACATAACAGATGCATTAGACTGTAACTTTCTGAGCCTTGGTCTCCAAACTCTTCAATCATTCCTTTAATTAACAGACACAGACAAATTACTTGCAAGATTAATCAATACAGAGATACTTCCTTGACGGAAAAAGCAGGAAGAGATGGATTCTTGTCCTTTCACACAGAGGACAAGGACAAAACCAAATTTTCAAATTTTACACCCCTCTATAATGATGAAAAGACCATATAATCTACTTAATCCAAAATCCAAATAGATCAAAAGGATAAAATAAAAAGAGTTCTGAAAAGCACTCAGATATGGAGGCAAAAGGTCTATATTCTAAAATCTCTCCTTATGCATATCTGATAGACATTAGATCAAATCTGAGAGATTTTGCATTAGTGATTTTTGTACTAAGAATTCCTTTTTCAGAAACCAAAGGCATAATAACAATAAGGTTCCAGAAAAATACACTGCTTTTCAAATAAGTCAGCACTTTTGAAAAGCCCTGTATTAGTTTCACCTAAGGGGACTGCCTCCCTACTTTGAGAGACTTTGGTGGGAACTAAATATTTTAACAGTTTTGTTAGAATCAGGAATTTATTGCAGAAAGTACTATAATTTCCAAAGGATTGCAATCTCCATTTCCCACCTCTACCAAACATTATTAAGGCATCTCAGCATTAAAAAACCCCCAAAACCTTAGCATTGCCTTAGGCAAGTGTAATAGTTGTATAAATTTTAGCAAGAACCTCCCAAAAAAATATCTCTGCCTCTCCTCTGGAATAAACAGTTCCACCACACTAATGATTCCCAACCTCAGAAAGAACATGTCATATCCATGCAAAGTCTTACTGTTAAAAAAGAAGCATCTGAAAACCTCTGATGAAGCATAGTACTGTAGAGATTTCATGTCAGCCATACGAGGAGCAGCTACGGTCACTTGGCTTGTTCAGCCTGGAGAAGAGGAGACTGAGGTCAGACCTCATCACTGTCTACAACTTCCTCACAAGGGGAAGAGGAGGGACAGGCACTGATCTCTTCTCTGGTGACCAGTGACAAAACCTGAGGGAACAGCTGGAGGTGTATCAGGGAAAGTTTAGGTTGGATATCAGAAAAAGGTTCTTCACACAGAGGGTGGTCGGGCACTGGAACAGGTTCCCCAGGGAAGTGGTGATGGTGCCAAGACTGACAGAGTTCAAGAAGCCCTTGGACAATGCTCTCAGGCACATGGTGGGATTGTTGGGGTGTCTTGTGTGGGGCTGGGATTTGGACTCAATGATCCTTGTGGGTCCCTGCCAACTCAGGATATTCTATGGTTCTACAATTCTAAAAACAATGACACAAGAGATCACTAATCTTCTATCAAAACTTGTGAGTACAATTCCACTAAAAGTAATTTATGGAAGACAACAACACATGCCTACACAGAAAGTGTAGTGTGACTGTAATATGTATTCCCATGCCTCAATTACAAAAGCAGCAATGCTTTCAAAAGCATATGCTTTCATGCAGATTTTACCATATGCTAGCACCTAGAGTAAGATCTTTAGAGGGACACTTGCTATGTATATCATCAGCTAGCACTATACATTCCTATTCTACTTAGACTGAGTGCATGCTACAAGCATGCTCTCTTCTTGACATAATGTAATCTGAAGTTACAGTAGATGTACTAAAATGCACAAATTCCAGGCTTTTGCATAAATACAGTAAGCAACTTGACAAAAATGAATGGCATATTTAGGAGTTACTGGATATTTTTCTAACATATTCCCATAGGAACAATAGAATAAGCTTCTTCCTGCAGTCACACCAAACCAAATTACTAGAACAATCCCTGAGCATATAAACTTGTAGACATAGTACAAACTTACAAGCAATGGCAAAAGTGTTACCAAAAAATAAGAATCATATTTCTCCAAGGTAAGAATTTTTCAGGAAATCTGTCTCAAGACTGCTAAAAAACCTTTTACTCAATATTATTAATTAATGGCTGAAACCTCAGCAGCTAAAGTGAAAAGAACTGCTGTCTCGCATAGGGGCAACTTACTACCAGATAATAAATGGTGGTAATTTGTCCCAACAGAAGGCAACAACTCTTGCACCTGATTCACAGCAATTGCAGGAACTCAAGAAGAACTGAGACTTGCCAGAGGATACAGGTGGAAGGAAAGCATAAGGTGGACATTGAAGAGTGGTAAAATGGTAAGATCACATTCTATCAAAATCACTTCTTTCCCCAAAAGAAACACATCAGTCTGCCCATGGCTATGTAATTACAGTTTACAAACTTCACAACTCATGCTCAATATCTCCTGAAAGCCAGAACAAAACAGAAAGTGTGTTTTAGTCTCACTCTAAGTGTTTGAAGATTACTGTGCATAATCAAAAATACAGTGCATTTTTTGAGATGCTCCTTAGCTAAAATGTGCTGGAGAATCTACTCAAAGCATGGGGATATAAAAGTAGCTTTTTAAGTAGTAGAAGACAAATGACAAACTCTCCATAAATAAACTTAAAATTAGTAAAAATAAGCAAAGCAACCGATTTCATAATTTCATTAAATCAAAATTAAAGGCAGTAGAGATTTCTTTTAAGGTGAGCACCCATTTTCTTTGTATATTCACAATGTTGTCTAACAAGACTTGATTTAGTTATCAAATTAGGAATACCTAAAAAGTTAATTCTTTTAAGGAACTGCAACAAGAACATTTACACACACACACAAACACAACAAACACTCTCTATCTTCAGGCATCTTTAAAAACAGAAAAAAAATTATTTTTGAATAGGGAGAAAACTTGTTCATTCTCTGATGGTTAACCATCCAAACCATATGTAAATTAAGTTGCCTCCATGCAAGTACATCCAAAATAGACCATTTTTACCTATGAACTTCTAGAATCAGAATTTATGCTGTTTTCCACTCTGCAAATTTTTATTTGGAGTATCTAACAAATTAGCATTATACTATAAGAGAATTTTTTTAGAAGTAGTTAAACAGAATGCAGAGGAAGCTTCTGAAAAATACTTATGCTAACCTCTCACTATCTACTTTAAAAACCACATCTTCAAGATTCACATGTGGGTTTGCATCCACTTTTGATATTTCTGAAGGCTAAGACCTTCAAACCAGCTAACAACAAAAGAAAAAAAAAAGGCAAAAAGAGAAGTAGGAAAAAAAATTTAAAAAACAAAAGGAAAAAATCAAAGAGGATAGATTGATAGATTGAATGTAATCAGTTAAGACAACCAGTACAGCTACTGAAGTGAAGAGCAAACATTTCACAGGCTTATCTGGTTCTGTGCTAGAGATCATACAGATATATGGTAGATCTCTAAAACTTGGAAAGCCTACATAATAATGAATACCCAGTTGAACAAACATTGGAGACAATATAGTAGTATATATTACCCAATCATTACAGTGCCTTTAAAAGAATAGATATGATTTTAGTCTAACGCCTCCTTCTCATAAGGTTCAAATTGGGATATGAATAGAAATGGCATAAAAGAGCTCTCCTGTATTTTCTTAAATTAGTTACTTTTCTTAAATAGTTAACACTTTAACCACCAAAACTTATTACAAATTTTAAATTATGGTACTGATAAGATTTTAGAAACTATAAACAACATCAATTGTATTTCACTCAGTCTCATGGTTCAAAATAAGGGTAGCTTAAAAAGAATGTTGAAACACAAGACCTTCCCTTTCCATTCATTAAGATCCCAAATAAAGAATGCTAAATATTTTAAAAACGTATATATGAGAGATTACAATTCATTGTTTTATGGGGAATGGTGATGAATGTCATAGAACCACCTACACTGAGTAAACAGAATTGTACTATGTGACAATGACAGTAAAGTTTATATATGGGGTCTATATGCATATATATACTTTTATAATATATAGTATATACACACACACAATCCTTTTACCTTTATCTTGCACTTCTTTTGAAAATCGCTCCCTTTCAATAGCTGATTCACGTTCTATCCGCTCAATTTCAGCCAATGCATCCAATTCTACTTCATCATATGACGTTATAGCTCCTTGTTGCGAAACCTGTTGCTGTGTCTGTACCACAGGAGTTTGAGGCTGTTTTGCAGCAACTGAAGTGTTCTGTTGTAAAACAGGCACTTGTTGTGCCTGAAGGAAAGCTGTCTGTTCATGCTGCAGCAAACACTGAGCAGTGTTTAATGGGCGGTTAACATCCTGTGGAGTAACGGGTGTTTTAGAAGTCTGTCCTGGGTACTGCACCTTAAAAGGAATATCACCCTCTGACACACTGCTGTTTTCCAAACCAGAAAGCATATCATCCTGCTGGTCCATATCCGAAGATCTTACACGAGACAGTCTTAATGTAAGCTTAGTGGAGTCCTTGGAAGGAGAGCTAATGATATCATACATTGCAGCTTTTTCAGTCTGGTCTTTTTCATCCTTGCCTAACTTCATTTTCTTTTGTTTCTTTTGCTTTCTTTCTGGAGAATCTAACAATATGTCTGGGGGAACATCTCTAGGTGATGAATAAGGTGGAGGTTGAGATTGTTGGATTAAAGGTTGTCTTGATCCTAGAATAATAATTCAGAAAAACTGAACAGTTATGTTGTTCCATGTTTCTATATAAAAACACACTAAATATAACCTACATAATTTTAATATGTATTTGCACATATATCTGTGTTCATAAAAAGTCTAAGTGAGATTGGCAGGAAGCACATCATTCCTAGATCAAGATGTAATTCAGATAGTTGCAGTGCATTTCCTAGGAGTTTTAGCAGTCTGCTGCAGGTAGATAAGGGATCATTTCAGAGAAGATGAAACAAAAAACACCACCACCAAAAAAGACTACATAAAAATTGTACCTGCAGGTTTAGAATATCAACTATTAGAAAGTAGTCAATGAAAGCACACTGACTACAGAAAAAAGAAATATCAAAAAGATTCTTAATAAGGTCCAGTGACAAAGATTTAATGTTCAGTGCATAAGCATTAGCCACATATTTTTAAGTAACCAAATATATATCTATATATAATCAAAACATACACAGCCTCCTTAACTTTCATTTTGACAGTTCATTTTCAACTTTTGTTTTTTGGGGGCTCTTATTAAATTTTAGGTAAACTCATTCCAACCTCCCCCACTCACTGCTATCTAAAAACCAAGAATTGTCTTAGAATATTCGTCACCATTCCCTGCTTTATCTCCACTCTTTTTTTTCAACATATGAATTTCTATTCCTACACATACCCATTTTAGACTTTGAGTACATCTAGGGAAATTTTTAAAACAGAACATTCTTTGTTCCATCACAGTGGAGACAGCCACGATACACAAAGTATTATCATCCAAATACAGAAAGCATCAACTCCAGAGTAACAACCCATCACTTAAGAAGACTGCAAGCATCCACCCTTTTTGTTCTTTAGCCCAACCTTTTATACCCCTCATGGTTCATGCATTGCACCTGTGTGCCTTCTGTTCCCTTTTGTGATTGGTCAGTACACCTCAGCACTCCATGTCTCATTACTTTCAATACTGTTCACCTGCTTTTCACAGTTGTAGCCCATTAGTGATGAGGCTCAGCCACGGCCCCACTCCCAATTACCACAAATTGTGTACCTACAAGTCTTCAGTTAATCACATGACATTTTTTGTTCCTCAAATTAAACCAGCTCCCCATAACTGTTAGCCCAGAAAAAGCTTTGAAAAACAGAGAAGCTTTTAAACATGTCTTATTTATAAATGAGCTATAATTTTTGGCTTAAAAAGGAGTACTGGAAGGGAAAAAAAAAAAAGAGCTTATTGCCTAGACCAATAGGACCAGCCTCTTCTTGTTAAACAATGCAAACATTTCTCCAGTCCCATTCATCCACTGAGAAATACTGATCTTCAGAAAGCAGTGACAGATTATTATTAGTCATTCTGTTTTATGTCATCATAGGTCAATACTTCTAACAACACTCAAAAACTAATTGAAATACAAGTCCCCATGTGCTTTATTCAAGATATACCACTAAACAAGAAAGTAGTTTTATTCTGAAGCTCAAATTTCTACCATATATTTTAAGAAATATTAAGAATTATTAAGCAATGTACTGACCTGTAAATGAAAAGGAGAATGGATACTTCTAGCAAAGCTTCAATTCATATAAAAGGTGTGCCTTTACTGATGACTTCTTTGCATAGACTAATATACTTATTTTCTCTCCCTAGTATGTTCTGTGAAAGTCCTATAACTTCTGTATGTAGAGAGCAGGGTATGAAATGGATTTATCTTACCCTTTTTCTTGACCATCACCAACAACTCCATATTATGCCAATTAAATCCACAATTTTGGAAAGCCCTGTTTTATCTCATCCTGATTCCCAAGATCTTTTCACTACTCAATTTCCCCTCTTCAGATTAGATACCACACTCAATCAACAGTACTGAAGACCTGGCTACACCCTATGAAGATCTCTCACTTGCCTTCAACCAGAGATTCCTATTCTTGTGATGTCCCCTCCACACACACACTTCTAATTACTGTCTCTTTAGACAATAATTTACATAATATCAGTATACTGTACAGCAGAAACTGTTTGCTACTAATTTTTTTTAAGGCAATGACTACCACTCACTGGAAATACAGGCTGCATTTTTGTTTCTACAAATATTAGAGGCAACTCAAAACTTTTTCAAGATCTTATTGACATCTTACTCTTGATTTAGCTCCTAAATAAATACTTAGTAAGTTGCAACAATAGAACATTTACTGTTTTTCACAGCTGCACTTCAAATAAAGGAGACATTTGATTCTCCCTTGTCAAAAACATTTAAGTAAATTTGACAAGATTGTTATTAATTGTATTCATTTGATATTTCTCATGCTGAAAAATAACACTGCATCAACAGATAAGGTGGTTCTTTTTATCTTTGGGTAGACTTGAGGAAATCAGAAGGCATGGTAAGTGGCAACAGCAGGAGCCACAACTTCGGCATATTCAAACGGCTCCAGGGAGCGCTGCGAACAGGGTGGGCAAAGAGGGCGGGGCACAGCAGTTTGCACGGCAGGATGTGCAGGAAGAGCTCAGTCCCCCTACTAGCTCCAGAGCTCAAGTGGTGGTCAAACGCCCTCTCAGGAGGAGCCTGGGTATGGTAACCACTCAGTGGGCTCTCATGCCCTCTGCAGTCGCCAGAAAGGATGTCTCAACACAGACAAAACATGCAGCCGTCCAAGTCTCAGGCTGCAGGGGGAGCCAGAGCCTGGCACTGTCATTGGACAGCAGTAGAGACAACAGCTGGGTGAGGTCTGATAAGGTGGGCGATCTGTTCAGCCTGGTGGTGGAGCTAAGAGAGGAGGTAGAAAGGTTAAGAAGTATCAGAGACTGAGAAGGAGTTTGACTGGTGGAACCATGCTCTGGCCTCCCTGAGACAGGAGCAACCACCAGAAAATAAACCAGATCAAGAGGATCCTGTATCTTCCCCTTGCCAGGCTGAAGGCAGTAGATCAAAAGGGGTTAATGGAGGCAAGTCCTTCCTTGGGGAAACAAGTGAAAGCCCTTCCTGCCTACCTCACCCTCCCAGATTCCTCTGGACAACAGATGTGAGGTTCTGGTTGTTGAAGGATCTCACCAGGAAAGTTCCTAGCCTGGTTTGGCCCATAGATTACTACCCATTACTGGTCCTTCACGTTGGTGGCAATAAAGTAGCAACACATAGTCTGAGGGTGATGAAAAGAGACTTTAAGGCCCTGGGATGGTTGGTGACATATTGTGCAACATAGGTAATTTTCTCCTATATCCTTCCAGTTGCAGACAGAGACACTGGAAGAAACAGACAGACCCTGTCTATTAATACATGGCTCCATGGCTGGTATCACCACTAAAATATTGGTTTCTTTGGCAGTAGGGTGGCCTACATGGCACTGGGCTTGCTGGCATAAGGTGGAATTCACCTCTCAAAGGGGGAAGAGGATTGTCAGCCAGGACCTAGCAGGGCTTATTGATAGGACTTTAGATGTGATGGGGGAAGGGGACATCATCAGGTTTAACAGTGATAAGGTGTGGGACAACATGCCATCCCACTCATACCAGTTTAATGCCAGCAAGAAACGCCCAGAGCCTGGAGACAGATCTCAGGTCAGCAGGAGAGCAGCAAAGTCATCTCAGTCCAGCAAAGCTCCCACTGCTGGGAAAAGGGGAAAGCATAACCCTCATTTTTAAAATGGAAAAGCAGAAGACCCAGGGAATTACAGGCCAGTCAGTCTCACCTCAGTCTTTGACAAGATCATGGAGCAGATCCTCCTGGAAACTATGCTAAGGCACATGTAAAATAAGGAGGTCACTGGTGACAGCCAACATGGCTTCACTAAGGGCAAATCATGCCTGACAAATTTGGTGACCTTCTATGACAGGGCTACAGCAGTGGTGGATGAGGGCAGGGTGACTGATGCCATCTACCTGGAATTCTGCAAAGCATTTGACACTGTCCCACACAGCATCCTTGTCTCTAAACTGCAGACATAGATTTGACAGATGGACCACTCAGTGCATAAAGAACTGCCTGGATGGTCACACTCAAAGAGTTGTGGTCAATGGCTCAATATCTAAGTGGAGACTGGTGACAAGTGACCTTCCTCAGGGGTTGGTATTGGGATCAGCACTGTTTAACATATTTTCTGGTGACATGGACAGTGGGATCAAGGGCACCTTCAGCAAGTTCACTGATGATATGGAGCTGTGTGGTGCAGTTGACACACTGGAGGGAAGGAATGCCATTCAGAGGGACCAGGAGAGGCTTGAGAGGTGGACTTGTAGGAACCTTATGAAGGTCAACAAGGCTAAGTGCAAGGTCCAGCACCTGGGTCTGGGCAATCCCAAGCACAAGTACAGGCTGGGCAGAGAATGGGTTGAGAGCGGCCCTGGGGAGAGACTTGGGGGTATTGGTTGACAAGAAGCTCAACATGAGCTGGTAATGTGCACTTGCAGCCCAGAAAACCAACCCTGTCCTGGGCTGCATCCAAAGAGGAGTGGCCAGCAGGTCGAGGGAAGTGATTCTGTCCCTCTACTCTGCTCTGGTGAGACCCCACCTGCAGTGCTGCCTCCAGCTCTGGAGTCCCCAGCACAGAAAGGACATGGACCTGCTGAAGCAAGTCCAGAAGAGGCCACCAAGACGATTAGAGGGCAGGAGCACCTCTGCTATGAGGAAAGGCTGAGAGAATTAGGACTCTTCAGCCTGGAGAAGAGAAAGCTCCAGGGAGACCTTAGAGCAGCCTTCCAATAGCTGAAGGGAGCCTGCAACAAAGCCAGAGAAGGACTCTTTATCAGGGAGTGTAGCAATAGGACAAGGAACAAGGGCTTAAAGCTGAAAGAGGGTAGATCTAGATTAGATGTTAGGAAGGAAGTCTTCCCTGTGAGTGTGGTGAGGCCCTGGGACAAGTTGTCCAGAGAAGCTGTGTCTGCCCCATCCCTGGAAGTGTTCAAGGCCAGGCTGGATGGGGCTTGAAACAACTTGTTCTAGTGGAAGGTGTCCCTGGCCATGGCAGGGGGTTGGAACTAGATGGTGTTTAAGGTCCCTTTCAACCC